AATACACAATGCTTATTTTTTTCAAAAGAAAAAATGTCTGTCTCAATTACAGAGGAACAAAAAACAACAACAGGAGTGAGATACAAAAAAATAGGATGAAAGGGGGAAAGAGGATCTTGTTCCCAGAAGCGCCAGCTAAAAGGATTTGTTACAGCCCAGCACATTTTGGAACACATGTTCCTTCTTTAGGAGAAATCTTAAACCTTCAAATTATGTAAAAAGAGCTTAAGTGGCTTGCGCAGATATTGTTGTCTATCTAGCACTAGGAGGGGGATTTCTCTTGAAGAAGGAACTTGTGTTCCAAAAATGTGTTGAGCTGCAATAAATCCTTGTCCAGTTTTAGAGAATAAGCTTGTCTTGTCTTCCTTTTTTGCATTCTTTCTGTCTGAAAGTGAATCATATGACTTTCACCTTAGATTCATTTCCCCCAGCCCTTATTGTTTTACTCAGCGGTGAAAAGGAAGCGAAGCACTCTGGACACATTCAAAATCATAGAAACCTAGAATTGTAGAGTTGGAAGGGACCCACAGGGTCATCTAGTCCAACCCCGCAGTCATTCTCCTTAACGACAAATCTGCTCACCTTTTCCTGGTGGGCGGTATTGCGGCCGGGCAGTCGGGTCACAACAGTATACTGGCCTAAGGTCGGAGGGTCTCTGCCTCTCTTCTGCGTCATGCCGGCAGCGTTATTGTTGCTGGGGTCTGCCCCCTGTGGAGTGTTAGAATTCCTGCTCCATGATTGCAGTCATGTGATTGTTGTCTTTCACATGACGGTATATGTTTTGACTCCACAGGGTGGGAAGTGACGGAGACAGGATGTTTGTGTTACTGTTCCATGAAGTGGGACTATTGTCCTTTGTTCTTTCTCTTTGCTGTCTGATGCTAGAGAGAGAAGGAGCCATGTTGTAGTGCTCCGTGTGTGTTTATATGTAAATGAAGTAGATTAGCCAAAATGCTGAGTTGCTGGGGTCTGTTACGCAAGCTGCGAAGACTCTGCGGATCCCTAAATGTGCCAATATCTGTTGGAAAGCTTTTGAAGCTCCCGAACGAATGACCAGGAGGGAGAGAACATGCCAGTCTGGCATGTGACTCTACCAGGGTCCTACTCGAGTGTAGGACAAGCTCCTGAAATGGAGCAGCCCCAGCCAATCAACTTTCAGTGTGGGTGTGGCCATGGGAGATTAACTGGCACCCTCTTTCTTGCCCCATTGCAAGCTCACCCAACCCACACACCATCTTTTCATGCGTTGCTCTGATATGGCCTTGCTATGGACAATTGTCAGTTGCCATATTGTGGGGGCCAGGCGGGAATTTTTCCACTTGGTAAATTGGCA